CAAAGGGGTACAGTCAGCATCTGTGCGCCTCTTGCCATCAGGCCGCTTTCGCGCCCCTTTTCTCGGGCTGTAAGGCCTTCATTTTCCTACACAACTTCCGCCCCTGCACCCAGGTATCGACTTCATGACGCAATTTGCTATTTCCGAGCCGGTTTTTACGAATTGGAACCTNATCTGACTCGGGGGCGTTTTTAAGACTGTTTCCAATCACATATCACAATTTCAGGTTCCAATTCGTAAAAACCGGCTCGGAAATCGCTTCTAACCATTTCGTTGACTTCTTGGCTGGCCCAGCTTGTAGACACACACACAAAGAAATAAAAAGAAGAAAAAAGCCCTGATGTTTACCCCCTCCTGTGTGACCCTGGATGGTTGTAGTTGTAGGAAAAAATACACTGAAAAGTGTAGTACACTACATTCCCTGAAAAGTGTAGTACACGTTTCACCACGAAAAATGGGGAGACTGTCGCCATAATAAAATACTTGAAGTAGGACGAAAACACACACACACACACGGCCTCGTCACGACCCTCACGGGCGGGCAGGCTAAGAACACTTGCATCAGTGGCTTCCTAGATTCGAGCGAGGGCATTTGTGTAGCTGAGACGTGCGTCTACGTGAGCGAACATGTAGAGAGAGTCGTATTGGCATTCGCGTCAAGCGCATTGCGCATTTTTCGAATTTTGGCCCCCTTCCAGGGACCTTGATTTTTACCCGCTGTCACTGACGTCCTTTAATTGGTCAGCCGGTTAGCGCGGTCGATGCTAATAATAAAAAAATACACACACACACGGAAACAAGGAGGATAATGGTGAAAGTACTCCTAAACGAACTCGAGTACTAGGTAATGGCCTTGGTAAACGGGTGCAGTTTTCTCCTGTTGCTGCTGTTTATGTTTTTGATCCGAAGGATAGCTTAGCCTCCCCCATGCTTTCCCCTCACGGGGTGCCAGTTAATGGTAGATAGAAGTGTTTTGTGTTTTCAACCGCACTAAGACTGACGTCTTTTTCATTGGTCAGCCGGTTAGCGCGGTCGATGCTAATAATAAAAAAATACACACACACACGGAAACAAGGAGGATAATGGTGAAAGTACTCCTAAACGAACTCGAGTACTAGGTAATGGCCTTGGTAAACGGGTGCAGTTTTCTCCTGTTGCTGCTGTTTATGTTTTTGATCCGAAGGATAGCTTAGCCTCCCCCATGCTTTCCCCTCACGGGGTGCCAGTTAATGGTAGATAGAAGTGTTTTGTGTTTTCAACCGCACTAAGACTGACGTCTTTTTCATTGGTCAGCCGGTTAGCGCGGTCGATGCTAATAATAAAAGCACACACACACCACGACACCAGAGGACAGACGCCACAGTGACGGAGTGTACACCTGCTGTTGCAGACCCTAAGAGCTCTAAGCAGAGGCGAACCATGCCTTGTGCGGAAGGTGGGCTGTACCTTCAACAGGACAGAACGCCGCAAGACCCTCATGGCCACGTCTGCCAGGGAGGATGTGGAGGGCGGCTCCACGGCAATTGCGGCAGCGTGTTTGACGACATCAAGACGCACCGAATATGCACCACGTGGGTTACCAGGATTGGCAAGCGCAAAGCGGCAGCAGCTGGCGGTGCTTGGGCGGGACCATCTAAACGCCAGAAGGACAAGAGCGGTGGGAGCAAGAAGGGGGGTGTTCGTGCGCGCCCGGACAACAACACGAAGCTTGAGATTCTCAAGCTGCTGGATGCGAAGGTCTCTCGAGTACAGATTGCAGACCGCTTCGGGTGCTCGGAGCGGTTTGTTAGGACTGAAGGCTGACCGGAAGAAGGTGGAGGCTGCGACTGCTGCAGTCGGCGGCATCCAGAAAACCGCGCGCAAGGGAGACTTTCCGGAGGTGAGCTTTCTTTTCCCCGCCTTTTTTTTCAAAATTGTTGCGGGCCGCTGTTCACTGGCCTTCTTTTTCGTCCATGTTTTTTTTCTTTTCGTCGTTCTTTATTTTTTTGTCACTGGTACAATAGATGTTGTCTCTCTTGTTTTTTCTGTCCATTGTTTGTCTGTCTCGGTTTTCTCACATATGTATGTCCGCTTTCATCCTCCTTTCCTTTCTGTGTGGCTAGTCCGCTGTTGATGTCCCCCTTTTTTGCGTCTTTCCTATTTTTTTTTTATGTACTCCGTATTATATGTACAGCAGACATAATATTCATAATCCATTCCTTTTTTTTTGTGTGTTTTGTTTTGTCTCTCTTTCATAAGGCACGACTGCTGTGTTGTCCCGCCTGACCGCGCCCCGCAGTGTAGGATGCATGCTAATGTTCGCCTTCTGCTTGTTTACTCGTTTTTTGGTGGCAGGTGGATGCGATAGCTCTTTATTTGCTCGCCAAAGCCCGGAAGGCCAAGATGCCCGTCATACGCGATGTCCTTCGAAGCTTCGGCCGTTCCGCCAGGACAACCCTGCTGGCTGACACCGCAACTTCAGCAGCAGTAAGAGCGAGGATCGAGGACTTCAAGGCCGGCGAGAAATGGGCAAAGAACTTCGTGAAGCGCAACAACATCCACAGCGTGATGCTGGCTGGAACGCACGTGACAACAGGCGGCGGGGAGGAGGACGAAGAGGAGGGCAGCGGCGTTGACAACACGGGGCCCGAGCGCCGTGCTCCACCTGCTTATGCTGAGCTGTCGCCTCACTCCAGCGTCCTAGAAGCGGCAGCAGATGAGAGTGGCAACGGAGACGCGACGTTCTTCCTAACGAAAGCGAACATGGCAATGATTGCAGCGCATTCCGCTAAGCGGGTGCGCCAGGCAGACATGAGAGTTTGTTGCTCCTACGGAGTAAGGGGTGCAGCTGTTGTATGTAGCAATGGTTGTTTCCTTTTCTTCCGGTGCGCTTCCTGTCGTGCTTTTCTTTGTTTTTTTCTTCTTGTAACATCCAAGGGGGTGCGCCAGGCACACGTGAGAGAGAGTTGCTGCTACGTTGCGAGGGCGGGGAGAACAGCTGTGGTAGTAGTAATGGTCGTTATTTTTTCGTGCGGTGCGAATCCTGTCGTCGTTCTTTCTCTCTGTTGTCTTTTTTTATCGGGCAACACCGAAGGAGGGCAACGAGGACTTAGACGTCCAGTAAACCTGCACCCATTTTCGATCCACGATCCACATCGCACTCTGTTGATCCCGCAAAGCTTGAGCGCTGCACCATGAAATCACCGCCTCCTCAGTAGTGCCGGTTAGTGCCGGACCGGCACTACTGAGGTATATTCGAAGCCTCAATACTGCCGAACCAGCACTGTTGAGGCACTATTCTGAATACTGCCGGTGCCCGGTATAGTGCCGCTTTTCCCTCTGGACACTACCCGGCACTATAGCTGTACAGCCTCTTTTGCTGCTGTTCAACTCGTTCGCCGAAATATGCACCGGCCGTCGCATGGCCTGGCCACGGCTTCAGACGGCAGCCGAGCTTTAGGCTATGTACATTTGTGGCACCAGCTGCAGCTCTTCTCTTTACTGCTGTGTGTGTGTGTGTTTTCGTCCAATTTACTAGATCGGGAGGTGGAATACAGTACTGGGCCCTCTTTAGTGCAGGTTGAATAGTGCAGGTGCCCGGTATAGTGCAGGTAAAATCTCTGGACACAGACAGCGCCCTCTATAGTGCAGGTCCTGCACTATTGAAGGCGGTCCCGATATAGTGCAGGTTGGGCACGGCGGTGCCCCGCAATAGTGCAGGTTGGACACACACACACACACACACACACCAAGAAACGTAGGGCTAGGGAAGAACTGCCCAGAGATTCTTCTTGTCGAAATGAGGATCAGAATGATGGTAGCGAAAACAAGGAGGACACTGGTGAAAGTACTCCTAAACGAACTCGAGTACTAGGTAATAGCCTTGGTAGACGCGTGCATTTTTCGTCTGTTGCTGCTGTTTCTGTTTTTAATCCGAAGGATAGTTTAGCCTCCCCCATGCTGCCCCCTCACGGGGTCCCAGTTCATGGTAGATAGGAGTGTTTTGTGTTTTCAACCGCACTAAGACTGACGTCTTTTTCATTGGTCAGCCGGTTAGCGCGGTCGATGCTAATAATAACACACACACCCACACCGAACAGCGGACAGACGCAACACAGAAAACGCGGATACACGTGCTGCTGCAGACCCTAAGAGCTCTACGCAGAGGCGCACCATGCCTTGTGCGGACGGTGAACTGTGCCATCAGCAAGACACAACCCCGCAAGCCCCTCATGGCCGCATCTGCAAGGGAGGGTGTGGCGGCCGGCTCCACGGCAATTGCGGCAGCATCTTTGAGGACAACGAAATGCACCGCATCTGCAGCAAGTGCGTCGCTAAGCCTGACAAGCGCAAAGCGGCACCAGCTGATGGTGCTGGGGCGGGATCCTCTAAATACCCGAAGAAGACGAAGGGCGGGAGTGAGAAGGGTTCTGGTTCTCGTGCGCAGCCGGGCAACAACAAGAAGCTTGAAATGCTGAAGGCGATGGATGCCAAGGTCTCCTACGCGCAGATTGCAGACCGCTTCTCGTGCTCGGTTCGGTTTCTTGCGACGGTGAGGTCTGACCGGAAGGCGATCGAGGCGACGGCAGCTGCAGGCGCCGGCAGCCAGAAAACTGCACGCAAAGGAGATTTGCGGAGGTGCGTTACATACACTGCCTTGCTGCTGTGACCTTGTTTTTTCCCCGCCTTTTTTTGAGCGGCCTTTTTTTTTTCGAGCCTTGTTCACTTTGATCGCTTTTTTTTGCAGCGTTCCTTTTTTTTCCGTCTTTCTGTCTTCTCTTTCGTTTTTTTTGTGTTTCTCTTTTCTTTTTCCCCGTCGTTCTTTCCTTGTTTTTGTTGTCTTTGTCCTCACCTTTTGTGTCTCTCGTTTTGCTTTCTTTGTCTGCGCTTTCACCTTTTTCGCCGTCCTTTCCTTGTTATTGTTATCGTTTTTCTCCTTTTTTTCTCGTCTTGCTTCTTGTATCTCTGATCTCACACACCCTCTTTTTCAACGTGGAACCACCCATGTATACGTCTGCAGCGCTTGTCTCTTCTTGCCCGCATTTTTTTTTCAAGTGTGATTCACATCACCTTTTTTTTTTCGTTCCCGCCTGACCGCGCCGCGCAGTGTAGGATGTATGTTATGCTATCGTTCGAAACTAATGGTTCGATTTTTTGCACTCGCTGCATTGATGTTGTTGTTCTACACTCGTTTTTCGGCGTCAGGTGGAAAATATAGCTCTTGATCTGCTCGAGAAGCCCGGCAGGCCAAGATGCCCGTCACACGCGATGTCCTTCGAAGCTTCGGCCGTTCCGCAAGGGTAACCCTGCTGGCTGACCCTACGACTTCTGAAGCAGTGAGGGCGAGGGTCGAGGACTTCAAGGCCGGCGACAAGTGGGGAAAGAACTTCGTGAAGCGCAACAAAATCCAGCGCGTGAGACTTCATGGCGAGGCTGTTAGCGTCGACAGCGCTGCCATCAAGGAGGGCATGGACGAAATCAGGGCCCTTTGCGCGAAGTACCCCGCTAGGTTCATCTTCAACGTCGACTCGACAGGCATCCAGTGCAAGCTCATGCCCAGGCGCACGTATCTTTCCTCGAAAGAGGATCGGAAGACGGCGCGGGGCTCCAAGAGCATGTACTTCAAGGATCGACTATGTGCCATCATGTGCTGCAATGCCGACGGCACAGCGAAGGTTGACATGGCCATCATCGGGAGGGCAAAGGAACCCCCCTGCTTGAAGAACGTGGCTTGCCCTGTGAAGTAGTTCGCGCAGACCAACGCGTGGTTCGACTCCGCGACGTTCCTCAAGTGGTGGCTTGAAGTCTTCCTCCCGTTGGTTCGGCGCTTCACTCACGAACCTGTGCTGCTGCTGATGGACGGCTGTTCGTCTCACGGTGATCTAGTGGATGATCGGGGGCAAGTGACCATGAAGATCCTCCCTCCGCTGTGCACCTCGGTACACCAGCCCATGGATCTGGGGATCATTACCAAGACGAAGGTCATCTACAGGAAGGAGCTGCTCGATGCGAAGACATCAACCATGTTGGTGGCTGACACACTTCGTGCTGAAGCCAAAGGCCGCAAGATGAAGGCCGGGACAATGGGGTTGGCGCGAGGGTACCAACCTCACCTGCAAGACGCCGCTGAACTTCTCACGAAAGCATGGGCCAGCGTCACCGCCCAGGACATTGCTAGGTGAGGTTTGCACATGTGCTTTCATCTCTGTTGAAAATGTTCAGCTCGCGCAAGAACACATGGCTTTTGCCGCACGGTGCGTGTGTGTGTAAGGTTGTGCGAATACATACATAGGTTTTCTATTTTTCGGCTGAGAATTCCAGCATGCGGACGTGTCTTTCCAAAATATATGGCGAACTTGCGCCTCACTTCGGTGTCCTGGAAGCGGCAGCAGACGAGAGTGCCAACGGAAACGCGGTGTTCTACCTAACGAAAGCGGAGATGGCGATGATAGCAGCGCATCCCGCTAAGCGGGTGCGCCAGGCAGACATGAGAGAGTTTGTCACGTAGTGAGGGCGTTTTCTTTTATTTTGGTGCGCTTCCTGTCGGCTTGTCTTGGCTTGTGTCTTGTTTTTTTTTCGCACAACATCGAAGTGGGTGCGCCGGGCAGGCATATTATATTTTTTCGCGACGCATTTAGGGCGGTGGATACAGCTGTAGCGTACTTTGCTTGCAGTGGGCGTCCTGGTGTGTTTCTTTTTCTTTTTTGTTTTTGTGCGCGTCCTGGTGTGTTTCTTTTTCTTTTTTGTTTTTGTCTTGTCTACTTTTTTTATCTTGCAACATGCAAAGAGGGCAGGGAGAAGGGCTGAGATTTAGCTTCGTCCACTGCGCGTTAATGTTAGATCGTGCGACAGTTCAGGGTGTGCCATGTACACTACGAGTGCTGAGGCAGGAAGCAACTTACGGTGCAACTTGCAAAGTAACTCGGTGTGTGCGAAGGAGGCAACCACACGCGCGGGACAGTCTGTCCACACCCACGCTAAAACAGGGCCCAGCACTGCTGTAATTCGATCCATTAAAGCATGACNCTTCGTCCACTGCGCGTTAATGTTAGATCGTGCGACAGTTCAGGGTGTGCCATGTACACTACGAGTGCTGAGGCAGGAAGCAACTTACGGTGCAACTTGCAAAGTAACTCGGTGTGTGCGAAGGAGGCAACCACACGCGCGGGACAGTCTGTCCACACCCACGCTAAAACAGGGCCCAGCACTGCTGTAATTCGATCCATTAAAGCATGACCGCCTCACCATGAAATCAAACATCTCCTCAATAGTGCAGGACCTGCACTATTGAGGGACATTCAAAACCTCAATAGTGCCGAACCTGCACTATTGAGGCACTATTCTGAATAGTGCAGGTGCCCGCTGTAGTGCAGGTAAACACCCCTGCACTATAGAGGGTCCAGTACTGTAGTTTTTTTGTTGAAAAACGTACCTGCAGTAGGCTCGTGCGTTGCTACCATTGGGCCGTTTACTACATAGCAGTATTACAATATATTGGTTGAGGTGTGGGAGGCGCCAATCAATGTGGACTCTGAAAAAAAAAATGTCTTGGAAAAAAAAGACACCTCCACACGGACTCGAACCCATGATTTCGAGTTAGGGTGGCCTTCACCGAGTTCACGAATTGAATTGGCTTTTTTACAACGTCGTTGCCAAGCGACGAAAACCCAATCCCGATGGCAAACACCGAGGGGGGGGCTTGATTTACATTTTCGTTGCCAAGCGATGAAAACCCAACGCCGATGGCAAACACCAGGGGGGAGGGAGGTGTACTCC